AAGGTAAAAATACTGGATAGAAATCTTCCTTTCTTTTCATTGCTTTAAAACTGTATATTATACATTTATTCTAATTTGTTGGCAACATGTAGTGCGGTGATCTGGATTGTCAGGGACCAGCCTGAGAGACAAACTTCAGTTTTAGTGCTAGGATACAGCAACACTGTCAGTGGGGTATTTAGAAACACAGATTTTGATACAGCTACATTAACTGTTAGGCAGAATTGGAACCAAGCAGTTCATTTACAAATTTTGACTATGCAGCCATGGCTCAGGTCTGCCTGTGCTTGTTTCCCATTTTGTTTTATAAATGTTTCGAGTTTCCTTTGACAACAGTCATGCTTATCCACAGATGAACTGATTAGACTTATGTAACGCCTGTTGAAATAATCACAAAAAGGGAGTCTTTGAACAGTATCTCATTTGAGAGAACAAAGTAAGCATGGCCGTAAAATATAACAAGTTTTTACTGAGTTAATAAATTTAAATTTACATTTTCTAAATGGTTTTCCTTTTTGCCTAGAGAAGGATATTTACACTTTGTAACAAATTCCCCCCAATAATTTCATGGGAGAATTAAATAAGAGATATATATGTAGGCTGGAGAAAGGTAATAGAAACAGTCTTGTCACTAGAATTAAAGGGGAATGGGCTATCATTAATTACTTTTGAGCTTATTCCACTCAAGTACAAACATATTATCTGCGTTGATCTGAGCAATCAGCTGAAACATAAGATCTGATGAATTACTTTGGTTAAGAGAAATTGCTGAGCTATTTATATTGTTAATACCATTCTATATATTGAGACAAAAGCTCAGTGTCTTCAGTATAGGAGAAATCAACTGTTACCGAGTCATTTTTAGAATCATAGAATGTTTGGGGTTGGAAGGGACCCCTAGAGGTTTGTTTACTTTTTTTGATTCAGGGTTCTAAACTGATTTCCAGTCAGTGTTGAGCCCTAGGGCAATCTCCTGATTTTCCTTAGGTCTTGCTCTTGGTACCAGTTCTTTTGTACCTTAAGCTTCTGCTTTTTTCTTCACTTGTCTGCATTGTCATGATCACCTCTTGTAGAAATATAGGTGAGAAAGGCACACTCTTGGTCTTTGAGTTTGATTACCTGCTCTTGCAGACCTTCAACCTCTGATAGTTAAAAAACCCCCAGACTTTAATGACAACTTTGTATGTATTTGTACTTGTTCCAAAATTGTTCTTTTACATGAACTTGTATCTTGACGCCTACACAGATCTCCCCCTTAGTCTTTTGTGTGATAAGCTAAACAAAGAAAATGTTTTCAGTGTCTTCTCAAAATTTCCCTGACCATTCTAGAAGCCTTTTTCTCTTGTAACTTGAATTCCTTTTTTAGGCATAGATGATCAGGATCAAGAACATAAAGATTTTAATGGAGCTTCATGTTATTGCATTCATGTTGATATCTATCTATACATATCTTCCCTGATAATTTAAAAATTTCATTTCCATAGGGACATCATGTTGGTAGCTCATAATTACTCTGGGATCATTTTTGTCCCCACAGTTTCATCCCCTGTAATTTTCAACTGCTGAGCTCTCAATTCTTAGCAAAAACTTAATAATCTGTAAGTTCACATCTTTGCATTTTGCGTAATTAAATTTTACCCCAATTTCATTTTTGTGGCCATAAAGGTAATCCATGTCTTCTTGGTGATGTTCCATTCCTCATATATCAGCAGTGCTTTCCAACATGAGAAATTTTTTGAACAAACCCAAACCATGATTTTTTTTGGTGTCATTCATGCTACTTATGCTCTGATCATTAATAAAAATATATAGTAAAATTGATCCCCTCCCAAATGTTGCTGAGGAATATGCATTAGTATTGTTCTTCCAGCTCTTTGGTACAGAACTACATCATCTCACCTTACTTTTACAGTCCACAATTCTTTTTGCTGAGCTCAAATGTTCTCTGTCATGCATGATCATTAGTACTGGCAAACATGAATTAAGGTTCATTTAAAAAGTTGAGTGACAGAGTTTCTGTTGTATGCTCACTCACTACGTAGGTCAGGTCTTTTTGATATGAAGCTGATTTGTGATAGATTCAAAGTGACCATTATTTCATCTTGCATAATCCACAGGACCTCTGGATTTGCTCGTTTCTTTCTTTTTTTTTATTCTTTCTTTTCTCCTCCAAAGATAAATGAAATAAAAGCAAACTCTATTTGTGAGTAATGCTTTTGTATGATATAAAGGGATACTTGTTGGTATTCTAAAGGGGATGGCTTGACAGATTTTTGCTTTAACATCTCTCGGAATAAATATCTATACTTATACTTTATAAAATAGTATTGTATTTATACCCTCTCTTTGTTTAAACATTGCTAATGAAATGTTAAAATTTTGACTTTTGCAAAATAGTAATTGTATTGCTGTGAGGAAAAACATGGAACAAGTTCTGGGAAAAGATTCCACTAGCTGGGATAATACACATGAAGAAATAACTGTGTATTTCTGAGTCCTTTTATAATTTGTACTGAGGTCTTAACCTAACTCAGGAAAACAGTGTTCTATCTTGTCTTTTGCTAGATCTTGAATTCTTCAGGTGTCCAGCTGGGGGAGAGGTTATGTACTCTTTGTGAGCAGAACTCTAAGTGATGTTTCTGACAGCTGTGGTTATAGCTCCTAGCTTTGCGTTTTTCACTCTTTGAGTGGAGATCATCATGTATAGTACAAGATTTGCACAGTGAGAGCATTTTTTTTATTTGGTCACTTCTTACCATCTTGCTGGCCTTCATATCCTAGCTAGGTGGCTTGTGGGGACTTGGAAGTGGTTGCCAGCAACTCACAGATGCAAGGTACTCCCTTATGTAGGTGTAAGTAGCTACTGATCAGAATACAGTATGCAGAACTGAGTGTTTGCATAGGAGTAAATAACTTAATATTTAGTAAGGGTGTATTATTTTTTTTTAAAATTGCCTTTGGAAATAAAAATATTACGTTAGGAGATAATTTCCTTTTCATGCTGATGGCAGGGAAGGCTATTTTTGCCTTCTTTTACTGCTGAATCACTCTTGTCTATTTTTTTTAAGGACCTTTTGTCTCCTTGTGTGTATATATTTATACCCTGTGCACACAGATTTAGGGAATTAAAAGTGAATTCATGAGTTATTCTGGAAAAACTTTAAAAGTGACATCTTTCAAGAACATTCACAGTGTTCAAAGCGGCACCCTGACTGCCACTGTCAGCAGCAGTAAAAAGATGGTGTCAGGTTGTTGGGCCTCAAGATTAACTTGAGCATCAAGTCTGGCCTGATCCAGTTCCCGACTGCACTTTAAAGCCTCCTAGGGCTTGACTGACTACCCTCTCCTAGGCTACAGAACACCTCACCGGAGACCCTACACAAATGTGTGGCTGGCTGAGTTCCCTTTCCCTGTAAATGAAGCGTTCTCATGTTGAGGCAGTTGCACACTGTGTAAAGTAAATAAATTAAAAATTGATAGCAGACAGTTTCTAAAGAAAAGTACATGGTGTTCATGGATGAGACCAGTTTGCTATTCTCCGTGCCATAATGTGAATGAGCCAAACTTGATTAACTCTAAGTTACTCAAAAGTACAATTACTATAACGGTATAATAATAATGTTAAACTAACAGAATAGGACCTGGATGAATTAATTTAGAACCATTTACTTCTAGTTTCAGCTTCTGCTTATATTTCCAAGTAAAGAAGGACATCCAAAATAATTTGAATAGCATGCAAGCTGTAGTGGAATTAGGAAAGATCTTCTCCTCTAAGTTTTATTTGTGTGTAAAATTTGACCAATATCAATATATCTCAGTATGTGTTGCGGGGATGTTCCTGTGTGTTTAAGGATATGGACTGAGTGCCTCAATAGGGCTTTCTCATTGTGTGAACAGAAGTTGTTTTTCTGTGGGTCTAGAATTCAGGGGAATTATTAAATGATAACTTTTTCCAGTTTGTTGGTGATGTTCTTTTGCCTTAGTTGCGTGATTTTTTTTTTTTTTTGCATAAGTTTGTTGCCATAATAATAGCAACTCTAAATATAAATAATGACTTATAATAATCAATTTCACTTGCATCAAGTATGTGTTTTAATAAAAAGTCCTCTATTACTTTGCAGTCTTAATAACTTAAAAATTCCTAAGGAGGATACTGTACATTTGTTAGCTTGAAAGGTCTCTTGTATCAGGAAAAAACCCATGCATGATTGTTTTGTTTGATATCAAAACACATTTTTGCTGTCATAATACTGGCACGTTTTCAAGGCATGCTGTTTTCTGGCTGCTAGCGGGGAGTAATGGAAACAATGCAGCGATCATGCAATTTATTGAAAATAAGCACTAAAAATACTTAGGCGAGCAATGTTTTTAATTTAATAGGGACTAGATTTCATAAGGCTGCATAAAATAGCTGTTTCAGTACCACAGGGCTATTTAAATGCCTATGAATTGCTGCCTATGAATCGTTTATAATTTCTTTCTGGTAATTTTGCTTTGGATCCGATTGTGATGCTTCTTCTGAATGGTGATAGTGCTTGTTGAGGAGTGGTCATGCAAGCAAAATTTGATAACCTCGATATGTCACTTCATCTGCCGTTTTTCTTTTGTTAATGCAAAGCTGGTTGCATAATATCTAATTTCTCCTTTAGCTGACCACAGATGAAAACAAAATCTATAATGGCAGCGCTAGGTTTTATAAAAAACGCAAGTGAGGAGTTGAAGGATGTGGCTTGTTCTGTTTGGATGATGCAGGATTGCTTTAAGCAGTAAGCTTACTGTTTTCAGATGGCATTAGCAGCATCAGTGATATAGCTGTGTCAGCCTCCTTGACTACTGGATGTCTGTAATCGCACGGAGGAAACTATATTTAAGATCTGATATCTTGAGGGTAATGACTCCAGCACTTACTGATGGGCAGAATGGGTGTTAATGCTTTCTTCACTAGCCCAGAAGATTTTGAAAGATAGATGGGTCTGTGATGTACTTTTGTAAGACAGGAAATGCAATTTTTGGGGGTCTCTGGAAATAGAAAGGTCATGCAGCTTGGAACCGGTGAGACATTACAGTCTCTAAGTCATCAGGTATGACCTCATAGTTTATACTAATATTTCTAACATAAAGGTTTGTTTTACTGTTTTAGGTCATCTACAGTCTCTTTGTCTGTGTAATTGCTTCATGTTGGATTTGCTACAGGATTTATAGGGTAGACTGTTTACATAAGCAGAGCGATGTATATCTTGGAAATTTAATGTGTTGTTAATTGCAATTTGAACAATGTAAGGTTATTGCAAATATATTTTTAACCTCTTTTTATTGTGAATATGATTTCTTTTAACTAATTCATAGTAAAAGGTTATACCTTTGCTGTAAAGTAAAGTGGCAAGATTGTGTTGCATTTTTATTTTGCTTTATCTTTCCATGGCACACAAAGCTATTGTGTGAATGTGTGTGTTTGTCGTATGAAAAGCAGTATAAAGCAACTGTTTACCTACAGTGGCAGGTTATTTAAAACAACGTATCACATTGTGTAACAGGACCGAGCTATTCTGCAGGCACAGATCTTGCTTCATTTTGCAGTAGTAGATGATTTTTTTTGCTTCATTTCAAATCAGTTTTAAAAATAGCTCACTGAACACAACAGTGAAAGTTTGGCAAGATAACTCTCCCCTTTTTAATTATTACAGTCAGTGACACATATGAATACTAATGGATTGTAAAAGAGAAGGTTAATAACTTAAATATTTAGAATGTTGTTTAAAACCAAATTAATTTTACTGAAGCATGTCTCATCATTTTTGTTTTTAACTGTTGCCAACTTTATTGCAAGGCTGATACTTCTGTATCTGTTAATGTAGTGTGGTGATGGATAGGAAAGTCGGAGAGTCGGAGTACATGAAAGAAAACAAGTTATGTGGGTATTTTACATAGGAAGATCGTGGCCTAATTTCATGTGTGGAACACAAAATGGAATTGGAAATACTGTTATTACTTCAGGTGATAAATGCTAGATAATAGCCATTGTTTCCCTTGAATACAGCATAAAGCAATTATATTTGAAATTGTAGGAGAAGTTTATTTAAAAAAACGATATTCAGCTCCATCTTAAGAAATTCTAGATGTATTTGCAGAACATTTCCATGGCAACGTGTTTGGCCATGTGTTTTAAAAGCTCAGCTGAAGCCTGAAAGTAGTGTGCAATTTTTCTGTCACTGCTTTACCCTTGTGAAACAACAATTTTCACGTATGTCTGGACTGCAGATTGGCAGGGGTGAGTGGTATTTCCTGACCCCAAAGCACAGGATTAAGTGATCAAGATTTTAAAATATTTTCATATTTCCACCTAGAAATGTAAACATGTAAAACATGGATTTGATTTTGCATTTAGAACTGTATTCTGGTTTCACCCCCATTTAATAACACATTGTTGGAAGTGTATGTGTGTGGGAGACCACAGAAGACTAAACTTAAGAATGTGCAGCAAATTGCTTCAGTAAAAATGGCTGCCTTTTCATTTTTAATTAAAAACATATTTGTAAAAAATGTTGTATTGCTTTTATTGGCCATAATTTATAGTTTCCCAGTCTACTTATCCAGCTTACGTTCTTATTAATAATGGGGAAAGACTGCCCTGCTCTTAAGCTTGGTTAGGTTTGGAATGATTTAACTATACCTTTCACTTGCTACAAGATCTTTTTAATCTGTTAGAATTTATTTTTCAGTATTTTAATGTATTAGTCACAATGAGTACATTCTGTTTCTTGGCATTGGAATGAAATTCCTGAAAGTATTGGTTTCATGGTATTTTGGTGCTTTGCAGGATATTTATGGACTTTTTAATAGGACGAACCCTCCCCCCAGCTTCTTTGTTTTCCTTGTTCAGGTATAATTTAAAATCACGACTTACCTGTATTTTGAAGTTGTTCCTGAAGTCTCCTTTGCCCATTTAAAATGCTTAGATCTCCATGGAATTTTGCGTAACTGGAAGCTGTAGCACTATGCCATGCACTTAACCTGTGCTCTGTTTCATCATTTATATTAATTCTGGAAACTGAGGGTGTTTTTGAAATGTAACATTGATAATAATCTCCAGATAGTGCAACAGACATCCACTGCAGCCTGTTTAGGCTAGAAACTGTATCTACAGAGAGAGAGCGAGAGCAAGGAGTTGGACTGAAGTGATCTGAAAACTTAAAACTACAAACTATTTTTCTTGTTTAACCCTCCCACCCTGCCACCCAAAAAAGAAAGGTTTAAAGTATACTTGCTGATATTTGGACATATCGCACAAATTTGGAGTAATTGAATCCAGTGGCAACGTGTTGGTATCAACTTAACAAGAAGGTTTTTTTACACCTTCTTTACAAGCATACCATCCCTCTTCAAATTGATTGCAACTGTCAGTATTTGAAAAATGCTGTGTAAGGAAGGATCTCTCTGACTAAAGAATTCTTTCCCCTTGACTGTGCATTACGAATACATATCTGTGTGAGTATGTGTTTCCTTATCTTTAAACATTGCTATTCACAGAACTTGATAAAGATCTTAGAAAGAAACAAAGCTCTGTATGGATGTTTTAGGGACAGTGTTAACTAGCAAGTTGGGCAAGAAGCCCAATATTTGTGCCATTTACCAATTCTAAACATGAATGCTCACACTCACGCACGTACTCAGGTGTGTAGTGCTTTTACCTATTACTGATTGCTGTTCTGATTCCATGCTACTGAATTCTTTTTGTTCTTCATAGTGCCAGTTTTTAAGGAAATGGCAACACTAGGACAAATAAGAGATTGTGGCCAAACATTCACAAATGGCAAAACAATGCTAAAAGCAAAAAGTACTTTCAGAATAAGTTGAAGGAATTCAAGTCCTTTTGTCCTACATTAGTCTCCCTCCCAAGAGATGATCCTATTCTCTGGTCAGATTCTCCTCGTTTACTACTTTAATTCTTATACCAAGCCATTGGGCCTAATGACCTGAATTAGCGAAGGCTTAAGTCAGAAAGGTCTAAAATAAAGTAACATAGCATAAATATGAAATAGCTAACTGCAGGGTCATAAAATACGTAGCTAAATCACTAGTGTTCCTAGAATGCTGTATTGCATTTAGTATTCCAAGAATATAACCACGTGTTCATCCTGAATAAAGATTATTTGAAGGAGATTTGCAGGGATGCAATGTGAAAATGTGAATAAATCTCAACAATAATGCCACAGTAATCTGTTAAAAAAATTTTAAATAGAGTCATAGTTAGTCCCAATTATGTTGTTAGTCCCAGCCTGAAGAGGTGGGAACCACCTAAGAGGGAGTAGTAGGGAAGGTGACCATATTAATGTAGTAAAAAAGAATGGTTATGCATTACTTAGAATGGCAGTTTGGAGAGAAGAAGCAATCCCAACTATGGTTTGTTCTTTTCCCCCCCTGCCCCGCCCTGTACTGAGCCTCATAAATAATATGACTTGTTCATATTGTTTCTTGTTTCCTTGCAAGACAATATTTGTTTTGCTGTACTCAACTTTTCATTAAGTTACTAATAAAAACCCAGAAACATGAGTGCTGCTGCACTACTGTGATCAGGACCATTGGTCTCATGATAATTTCTTTCAGTAGAAGCTGAGTATGAGTAGAAGCTGTTCCATAATTCTGGTAAATCCCAATAGATTGCTTAATTAATAAAATCAATATAAACTACAGAGTAAGCTATATAATGCTTTCCATTGTGCCATACTGATTTCAGTGTGACCCTAAAAGGAGAGAGTATCACTTTTCCTGAATAATTTAAAAATTGTGTATACCAGTAAGAGATTACAAGATGTGGCTGTTGATAAGATGGGGAAACACCGCTATTGCAATTTTATTAAGGGGATCAAGTTTTTTCTTATACTGAAGTGATACTTCTCATATTTTAATCTGTCCCCATTTCTTCTTGCCCTGTCACTGGCACCCTTGAGAAGAGTCTGGCTAGGCCTTCGCTACTTGCCCCCTGGTCAGGTATTTCTATGCTCTGGTAAGACCCATCTGAGCCTTTTCTTCTCCAGGCTGAAACAGTCCCAGCACTCTCAGCCTCTCCTCCTGTGATTTTTGTGGCCATTTACTGGGCTTACCCCAGTATGTTCATATCTCTCTTGTATGAAGGGAGCCCAGAACTGGACAGAGCGCTCCAGTTATGTCTCAACAGGGCTGAGTAGAGCGGCAGAATCGCATTACCTGGGAAGGAAATTTGGATTCTCTGTTAACTAGTCAAACTTTGGACAGGAATCCTTGAAAAATGAGGACTAAATGCACTTAAAATTATAAATAGTAATGTTTCTTGCTAATCTTATGGAGAAGAAAAGCTTTGAAAATAGCTTTGCTTAAGTCATAACAGTTGTTTTAGTGATGAAACCTCCTGTTGTTTTGGAATGTCTTATGTGGAATCTAAGTCCCCCAATGCCAATTGATATAAGCAGAGAATAACTCCTGAAGGGAAAGGTGAAGCTTTAATATTTTGAGCTAAGCAAATTTCAAAGTATTTGAATAAAAAGATACCATCTAGTATGATATCACTAATTAAAAATAAAAGTAAACTATGGAGAACGTGAACTCTCCAGGGATTCATAAGTTGTGTTTTTAGTCAACTCACTCAAAATAATTTGTTAATTTCTAGTGGAAACTCAGAGCTTGCACAGAGCTCTCAAATGTTCTTAACTGATGCAGCAACCATCAACTGATAAAAAATATTCAGCTTGGTGCATTGAATGAAAATGCCAGCATTAAGTGACATGAGGGAGTGTTGAAGTATTGTAAAAATTTGCTCGGTTTTATAATAGCTTCCCACTTTACTCCCAGGCTGCTTAAACAGAACAAAAATGGATATAGGAGCCTTCAGTGATGCAAGATTCGCCCGTTCCTCTCCAGATAACATAATGAGTTCACTTGTTTAAATTCTCTTTAATAAAGATTTTATGCAGGCATACAGAGTCATTAAAATATGTGCAAGAAATCATACCCATATGGCTTGCATCCACATTTGATGCAATTAAAACTGTTCTAACAAAAGCAGTATCAGTTTTATGTCCCAATCCTGCAATTAAAATTTTCCAGG